TTGCAGCTCGGAGGTGAGGTTTGGGGAAGGTCGGTCTGTTGGTCCTGTCTCACCGGGAGCCCCTGTGTGAGGCGCAGCTTGCCTGGAGTTGCTGCTAGGTATGTCGGGGCACTGCCGATGTCGATCACCATCTCTGGTTAAGAGACTAAAAGCCAAAAAAGTCATGCTTGGATCGCGGTGGGTTTTTTTTTAGAAAGAAAAAAGGCAGCCTCAAGAAACATTAAGGCCCAATGATTTGCAAGGGAGATGGTTTCTGCTTAGACTTGCCCTGGCTTAGACTGGTAATAACATCTTTTTGTGGGTTTTTTATTTTTTTGTATCTTGTTTATTTTAGTGCGGTGGTTTCAGCAATCTGTTTGAGGCAGGAACCAGTGTGAACGCACCTGCAGATGCCTTTGGTCAGTCTCCAGCTCACTTGGCTGCCTGTGGTGGTGAAGCTTTTTTCCTACTTTGGCAACTGCAGACAGGAGCAAATTTGAACCAACAGGTAAAACTACAGCAGCTTTGTTTCTCTCACTTCTCATCTGGCATGTCACTAAATCCAATTTATATAATTTACATATTTTTTGATCTATGAGAGGTTTTATATACACAGTTGCATTGCATGAGGCATCTGGGTTTGCGTACTTTAGCATGACTTTATTCTAGCATGAACCACAAGTCCCATCTATATTAGGGTAGCAATTTCATTTGCTATGTATAAATGCAGCCTTCACGCTTACGGTGCTGCATATGGATGTCAAGAGAACTTAATTCTTCTACACAACGAGCATTCCTTTTTCTTCTGAAATTCTGCCCCTACTTCCAGTAAACATAAGGGTTCTTCCTCTAGCTGCAAAGGGTAATTTGCTTATGCCTCTGAGCTAGTAGCAGCAAGCTGTTAGTCACAGCAGTCCCTTAACAGTGTATTCTGTGTAAATCATCTTTTAGGAGGTAAAGGTTAAACAACGAGACATGGGACAGTATTTCTGCTTTGCTGTGATGAATACACTAAAACCATTTAATGGCAGTTGCCAAGTACACTTTACGAGCTATATTCCTTTAATCTCTCTCTTGGCTCAACAGACTTGTATACAGAGTAATACGCCATAAACATTCACAGTGGAGAACAAGATAGCTTCATCCTATTCCCCTTCCTTCAAATGAGTGCTCTATATAAATTGTGTTTTTAGGATTGCCTTGGAGAAGCCCCGATTCATAAAGCAGCAAAAGTTGGGAGTTTGGAATGTCTTGCTCTCCTTGTTGCTGGTGATGCCAAAATTGAGTAAGTTGAGCGACATTCAGTCATTTCAGTAACAGTGTCAAAAGCTACGTATTTTACACAGTACTTTCTCTTGTTCAGAGTGTGCATGCGAAGACATAGGTATAAGCATCAGTATAATCATAAAAGCAGTATTAAAAACTTCCATAAGCACGACAGCAGCATGGACATATACTGCTGTTTAGTTCCACACTGAAGACCTCTATAGTAACTGCTAACAGAATATGCCTGATCATAGATTTTCCTGGCCAGTTTTCCATTCTGACTAATGATGTGCTCACCTTTCCTCTTGCCTTTCTGATATGCTAAGTCATAGTCTGATGACAAATTTAAAATAATTAGTCCTTGTTGCATTTAGTACCAGTCCTCTGTATGAGCAGAGCCCCATGCTACACTTGACAAGCCTTCTGGTACTGATTCTCTATACACCTCTGTCTAAAGTTACCACTTAATTAATCTTGATTAGTGCTTGCTCATGACATATATTCCAATTTAATCAAATGGTTATTGTTAATTGTGTTTCAGCTTGTGCAACAACAGCGGACAAACAGCAGCAGACCTTGCACTGGCTTACGGCTTTCTGGAATGTGCCAAGTTCCTCACAACGATTCAGCACATGCAGACAATGAAACTGAGAGGCCAGTCTGGCCCCTCACTAAGTGACAAATGTGACTTGCTGAGAGAAGATCCAGCTGCGCGAGAACAAGAAAGTCAAACCAGCAGATCTATAAGCAGGAAGAGGAGAAGACCAGATGGTGTGTAATACTGTTCATTTACTACAATTTAGTGTATTTTTCTTTATTAATACTTGTAGCATTTAAGTAAATAAAGTTGGTGTTCGATACATAGTCAGATCTAGAAGAAGCCTACTAGTAAGGATGAACTTGCATAGATATTTAATGGTCTTATTGAAAATGGATAGTGCATGGGGAATGCCACTGAAAAGGTGACTGTAACATGAAAAAACCCAAAAGAAAGCATAGCTATATTTTACTGATGGAGTAGCTCCAGACTTATTCTTGTTTATTCATATGACAGAGCTCGCCTCCTGACAGACAAAAGAAACAGTTTGTAATCCCAAAATGAAAACAGGGGAAATCTAAAGTATGAAACATAATTGGACGATGCACTGAGCCGTCAGATGTGTATGCTGGTAGACTGTCTCCTTCTGAGAAGGAGGAAACTTATTTATTTTTACTTCTTACAGAAGACTGTTGCGTTTTGTGTTGTGGGTTTCTTTTATAGAATAGTTGTATTCATACAGCTACAAATAAATGAGCAGGTAACAATTTTCTCGTATTTTTTCCTGTGTAAATATGAGAGCAAAGTTCATGAAATTCAATACATTTGGCTGTTTTTCACAGAATCATCTCATCATAGAATGGCTTGAGTTGGAAAGGACCTTAAAGTTCATCTAGTTCCAACCCCTCTGCCATGGGCAGGGACACCTCCCACTAGACCAGGTTGCTCAAAGCCCCATCCAGCCTGGCCTTGAACACTTTTCTCTCACTCCTCCTCTAAAATGGTCTTATCAACAGTACCATCAGCAAACGATGCCGTTGAACAGATTCATAATGCACAAGACAGCTGGCTGTATGGAAAATGAAAGGTAGAGGAGAGCTGATTTTTTGGCAAGAAAGAAATCTATAAAATAAAAGGATTGGGCATTTAATCTGTAAAGATTTTAGCATAACAAAAAATGCTATATAAAGTTGTCCTAGGCAAAAGAAGAGACTATTAATTACCTAATGAATGTATTTGTAAGCTTCGTTAAAAAAAAAAACTTAAATTAAATTACTCAAGCAACATCTCTATTTCAAATGGATTTTGATTGCCTTACAGCATTATTTTGATAAATAACAAGACAGTTATATCTCGATTAGTTACTGTTCTGGCTTTGTGTGTTTGTGTGTTCCAGCGTAACAGCGGAATTTAAATAGCTTTTGGTCGTTGAGGTAGGCACAGGTTGTAATAGGCGTCCTTTTTCCAAAACTCTGGGCCCTTCCATCCACACCAGCCCTGTCCAAGAAAAAGCAAGATAGCATTTAAATCTACTACAAATTGTGGTTTTCCTATCTACTACTATTGGATCCATTTTATTTTACTAATCTTAATCTAAGATGTATGAATTCTTTTCAAATATCTACAGAATGCTGTGACATCCAATTTTAAGAAAGTTCTCTACATGCCTGGAAACACAGGCATGTCTCTAACCCTTCCTCCCTCCCCACTCAGTTCCCACAAAGTTGCATCTCTTATTGTTTTCCCCTCCACTTCTCACTACCTTCTGCTGCTACAGAAAGACTAATATTATTCTAAAACTCTTATTCTCGCAGTTTCCATTTCTCATATTGAATTCTTGCCTTTCCTGGCAACATTAGGTATTTCAAACAGAGCTCACAATATCACAGGGTGTGCTGTTGGTGATGGTTTAGCAGAAGAGCAGTCTGACAAAGCTCTTAAGTCTGCAGAGTACCTCACCATTATACAAGGTGTTTTCAAAGACGGGCGCTACAAACTTAGAGTGTGGCTTAGTTCCTCCCCTGCCACTTTTCCTGAGGAAAGAGGTTGTGTTATTTCATCCTCCTGGATCATTCCTGAACACCTTGTAGCAATAAACAGCCTTTGGTTCTACAGGCTCATGGAAAATTGTTTCTTTCTGTATTGTTTCAAGTTTTGATCTACAGGGCTAGCAAAATATTTCTTCAACAGCTTTTCTAGTTGGGCCCAACCCAAGGGTATCAAATAAAGATACAAAATAGAAGTGGCTGTTTGCTACTTAATATGAAGAAATTGATTATGTAACATCACTGGTTATGTTTCTGACGTTTTGTAATGTGCTGTGTCATCCCTTTTAGTAGCTTTAAATACAGAAATAACACTACATACCCTTTAGCTCTTTGGAGTTTTTCCAGATTTTCAAAACAGCTCAGTACCTGCTCTCTAAACTTAGTTCAAGGCATGATCTGAGAATGCTTAGTGTTGAATTTTTTGAATTTAAATAAATAGTTTTCTGCTCTGCTTCAGTAACAGCATTTTACAGGCTGAACAGATTTTTCTGCTCCATGCAAAACACTAAGCACATTTATCATATATACTACTAGGTAAAAGGGGAGATGGTTTAATTCAGAGAAAGTAAAGAACATTCTTTGTATTATAAGTTTATGTAGTTTCTGACCCAAATATCTTCTCCAAAGACGCTAAGTTTCAGAAACCAACAATAAATAGCATATACACAGGTTAACTGAGATCAGCATTTCCTCCACAAGGAATGGAGAAGCCATAGAATGGCCAGTTTGTATTTGGCTGTACATCACTAGTTTTATGCCAAAATATGTGCATATACATATATATGTGGGTGTGCATATGTGCATCAAGCCTCACCTTTTCCAAAATAACGTGCAGATCTTCTCCTCCAGTGTAATGTGGGTCTAGAATCAAATACTTTATGTGCCCTGTAATCTCATTCCAAGCCACTCCTAATATTGTGTGAGCCAAAACACCTCCACCTAAAATACGAGGAACACAAATTGCTAAAAGTTTTTCACTGAGATTTGCTAAATGTGCAAGCCTAAAATAAAAGTACATCAATACTTTCAATTAACAGATTAGCTTGGTTATCAAAATGGTTCTGAAGCTGTCCTATGGAAGATTCTTCACATTATTAAACAATGTATCTTTACTACACCTAGGGAAAATTAGTTTACTTACTACAACTAGAGAATTTACTTTCCAAATTTCTTCCATGTCAGCAAGGCAGGTTAAATCCTCAACAATTCCATCAGATGAAGTTAAGAATATCTCAAACATCTGTTTTGCTCGCTTTTTCTTTAAAGAAACTTAACTGTAAAAAAGGAACCTGGAAAACTTCCTGGTTGTGGAAGGAACAGAAATCAGAATTTCTGGATAAGAGTTATCACGGTTTTTTTTATTAAGATCCATCAATGGATATTAGGAGCAGAGTAGTCATTTCTGACTCCCTTTTTTCTAGCCTGCAAATAGGGAAAGGCCGTGTTTTGATAAGCCACAAGCCAACTTTTCTTTCAGATAGCATGAGGAGCTTCTATCATTGGGATACTCTAGTAATGACTCCACACAACAGACAGGAATTGCAAAAACTTCAAAAGAACACAAGCGAAAAGAAAAAATCCCCAAAACCCATCCCAAAAAGCCCCTCCAATGAAGACAACAAAAATTAAACCCATCTACAAGACAGTATTACAGGGGAGGATAAGATGTTTCAATGTAGAATTCTAAATTCTTGAAATTCAAACCAAAAGGCTGCTGAAAGGCCAAGAATATTTCATACCAAAATGTGGACTTCTGGCACCTCTAATTGGAGAGAGTAACACTATTTTTATGGAGTGCCAAATGCAGATTGCAAAAATTGCTAAAATGAAAGTTTTATTAAAGCTAAAAATTATATTTTCAATATTCTTCATTTGCTAAACCTCAGCTGTCTTGAAAATAGATCAATTAAAGTTACAATGTTCTTATGAATGGCGTTTGTTACACTACCAACATTTCAGATTATTAAAACTGCTCTTAGAAAGAATTTGGATAGCAGCCTTCTCTTGGAAGCCAGACAAACACTGCTCCTCTGTGACAGGAAGCTTTGGGGAACTTTATGATCTGCTCCTCCAGAGAGCACAAGTCAGCTCTTGAGTTTTGACTTGAACAGCCGTTTTAAGAACACCATTTAGACTGACTTTTTTACAAGGTTACTGAGCTTGGGGGAAATACTGAATTGCATCATTGTCGAGACTCATTTGGGAAAAGCCTTATTTTTAATTCATCTATAGTTTTAACTCTTGTACAGTAAACTAAATGGATTCCAGTTGCAACGAGATTCAGCACAGGGATGCTCAATTGCATCTTACACACTTAACGTTGGCATTCTTCAATACTTGGGCACTTACCAATCATGACTGGAGTCCCTTCTGTCTTGAAGTGATTAGCAAGCTCTCTTCCCTGCAATGCTAGTTCAGAGCCCTGACTGGGTACAAAAAACAACGGATTTGTCATCCTCACTAGGCTTAATTCTTTAATTTTATATGTGTTAGCTGCATAGCTAATAGATCACAAAGTGGCTTTGCGTTTTCCTGTGTAAACATCCTCAGACAATCTGAAAAGAGGCATGTAATGCAACTTAAAGATTCTGGCTGGCCCAACAAGTTTGCTGTAAGCCTATTGCCACTGGAGCACCTGGAGTCACTCAGCTTTTGTAACGTGTCTGGTGCTTGTCACCCACAGTGGGGACAGCTGGGAAACCCCAACAGCTCCCTCCAAGTGGCTGAAAACCAGACTAGCCACATCTGTCAGCAAGGGGAAGTCTGAAGAAACAGAATGTGATCAGAAAAAACAAAAATAAGGTGATGATAATGTTCTTAATGTTGTTCTTAATGGTGTCTCTTAAGATGGGTTTCCGCTGTAATTGCACAATTGCAGGACTCACACCCAAGCTGGCTTTAAAAATGGCATCTCAATATTAGTAATCTGAATAAAGCAACACTGAACTTTGCTTTCCTTTTCAACTATGGGGACCGGTCAGACAGAAGAAGTCTACATAGAAGAGAAATAAATGCACACATGCAATACACGCACACGCTTCTGGATTTGGAGCTGAAGACATATGTCTGACAGTGTCTCATATTTGCCTCAGAAGACTGACGCTACTCCCAAAATTGGTGACAGAAGCTAGGCAAGGAAATTAATACAGAAAATTTTAATATATTGTCTTTATATTTCTTCATATTGTGGTTAACCTTTTGAAAACTCAAAGAAACCCTGCGTGCCTACTTCCCAAGTTCCTGGAGAGACAGATTAAACACAGACAGATCACAAAACTGGAACCCTGGGAAACGGTGCATTTACAGTAATGGATTCAGCACCAGTGTTGCTGGTGCAGCTGTGAAGTCTTATTTCCATAAAGCATTCAAGGTGCTAGCTAGAAATAACCCCAAGACAAAAACTGTATCTGCTGACAGTGACCAGTTGAACAAAATGCACAACATTTCTTCTCTGCATGGTAGTTATGCTGGCTTTTCATAATGCTGAAAAACATTTGTGCTCCACTGTAGCAGCACTGTAAGCAATTCTACTCAATTCTGGCAGGGCCCGTTCACAGCTGCTATAAATAATAGGTGGATCATCTGCAAATAGAAGCTCTGGAACAAAAATTATTAAAATTGGCAATGTAAAGCTTTACAAAATATTGAAGAACTGAGCTATTTTCCTACCGTTAAGAAAAACCATTGCCATGGTCACATGCTCTTTCAGAAAACCTACTGCAAAATTTGCTCTAAATAAACATAACTCATCAGTAATATCTTGTTTGACAGGAATTTTCATGCATACTAAGTTAGCACATGTTCGTTATTTCATTACTGTATTTATCACAAAACATTCAGGAATTTATTAGTTTACTGCCTAAATGACAAAAATCCAGTGATTTTACTCCTGATAAACGCTGAGTATTATTCTTCTTCACCCACATGTGAGTGCTAGATTGTCAGAATGGAAACAAATCCCTTGTTTTATGTGCCACACAATGCCAGAATGGAGAACACTATTTCCAGGCTGCTCAGCAATTTGCCGCAGTCCTGAACTGATGGGGTAGCCTCGTGGATAAAGCAGTAATTTACTATCAGTGTGCATTCAGTTCATTATCACTGCTGGACTCTCTGCCTGCTTCAAAAGTTATTTGAATAGGCTGAATCCTACATCAGTTTACATTATCGCTGAGTAATTTGCGGCAACTGCAGACAGGAACCCCACGCCCCCAAGAAGTTTAGCAATGCCTTCATCTGTAAGCACGTAGCACAACCAAAGGCAGGAACAGAGGGTTTATGAACAAGGAATACTTAAAAGATTTATGGTCTCTTATTATCTCTGTTCTCCCATGTACTGTAATCATATTTTTTAATAATTCAGGGCATTTTTAATAATTACTGAGCTATTACAGAGCTGTTGATTCTTACCTGACAAATAGTATTTTTGATGTTATTCCAAAAAGCTGATTCAAAACAAGCTGCACCTCAATTGAGCCAATCCATTGCCGCGATCCAACAAACGCTGCTGGCTTGTCTCCAGCATCAACCAGTGCCTTTGCAACATCATCATGAAGGAGAAAAGCAAACGTCAACAACCACTTTTTGTGCACAAAGTTGGTTTATGTACATATACGGGAATGTGTTTTGAATCCAGGCTGTCAAAAACCATTCAAATGGATTTGTCTTTCTTTCACTGTGGTTCTGTTTTGGAAATGTCACTTGAACACTAATAGGAAACAGGGCCTACAAGCACAGACTGCAACCCCAGGTCCTCTGGCAGACTTCAAGCTGCCTGATACGGGAGGACATCATTGTACTGCAGAAGCCACTTCACAGACTGAATTACCTGGATTGCCATTCAAAGCATCTCAGAAAAGGATCCATAAAACACAGCTCTGAGGAAGAGGACACTGAAATACATCGAGGGTTGTGGCTTATTTTAAACTCTTCTCTGTTCTGAGGCTTATATGTTACATGCAGCACTTCAGAGGGGTCTCTTCCGCTCAAGCCACTAAGCCCACAGGCTCCTGAAGGCTACTGCCCTCTTAAGCATCTAAAAATACTAAAAATAGACTTCAGTTGCTTTTAGGTTTAGGCTTGGACTGAGAAATGCTCAGGAAACGCAGTTTTAACTTCAGTACTCACCTCCCTATTAGTTAGTCATGATGAAAGTTTTTTTGGTTTTTTTTACAGACTGAATCAAACTTTGCTAAAAGTTTTCTTTGCATTATATTTATTTACTGTATTATTTTTAGAAGACTGAAGAGAATTGCAGTATTTCTTGCTAGGCATACAATATTAGATGCCAAAGCTTACAGATTTTCTTCAGTGCTGTCAACAAACACATTCCGGTCTGCTGTCAAATTCACAATAGGAAAAGAAGTGAATAAGAGCTCAAAAAACAGGAAAGGCTCACTACTCGCAAAGGCAAAGCTGCAAAAGGTGGCAGTAAATCAATGCACAGCATCTGGGGACTAATCCAACTGTCAGGGAATACAAAAGCCAGTTTTAAAACTGATTTAAGTTTGATACTCTGGGTTCTTTGTTTTCTTTTTTTTGGCAAAACCATTGAAAAAGCCATAATCTGAGCTAATAGAACATTAATCCAAGGAAATATTTAGAAGACTATTTTAATGAGTCTTATTTGTACAGATAATGTTACTCATTCAGAGACAGATCTCCTATAATAAAAGCTGTTAAAAATAATAATTTAGCGCTTTGATAGTTCAAGAGATAAATTAAAAATACCACACAAATCCAAAGTCTAGAATATATGATTTTGATATTCTAAAAGTAATCTACACAAACTTTTCTAGACAAATATGCATAAAATAATTAGTCTGCTTAAATGTTTTGTACCTGTTGAATTTCCTTGTGTGTTGGTACAGGTGAATCCATGTAACCTTGGTGCTTGAACCAAGAACAGATTGTCTGTAAGGAGCGATAGGCACAGCCCCAGCCACTGTCATCAATCCGATCCTGCATATAGTGGTGATAACTATACACACCATGCACTAGATAAACCTGCACAGAAGGAGATAATACAAACAAATCTAATCACACTTGCATCGGTTTTCAGGGAAGTCACATGACTTGTCATACTCAGACTGTAAAAGCTTTCAGCTGGGGATGTCAAATCTTGGGAATAATTGAAAGGTTGGTATTCACATATGGTTTCTCCTCTGCTCTTGTCTCTTAAACATCATCATTCACAGTTTTAGTTTCTTGTTATAGTTCTGAGAAGCTTTTAAAACACATGCTAAAAACATGAGCATCCTTTTCAATAAAAGGCAATTTCTTTGAGACAAATATCGCCAAAGCAATGTCATTTTTGTGCAGATCAGCTCTCTTGCTTAAAAGGCCACGACAGTTACATCACTTTCTTATCTATAAAACACTACCTAAATTACTTTTTTTGATAACAAATCTCAAGTAAAATAAAAAGTACGTTCTTACAAATGTTTCAGTGTAAACTTACCATACCAGACTCCATACCAGGCGAACTGAGATGTAAATGTGGATTTCTGAGATACCCATCTTTATATGGTTCATCTGGAAAATGATAAGCATTTGCTCTCTTGAAATACGGTCTGTCACAAGGCAGATTGAATAACCCATGCAATTCCTACATGCAAGTTCAAATAAAAATAAAGAGCACAATTCAAATTTTGGTTTAAAAGAAACATCACATTGTAAGTAACAATAGAGGTAAAAACAATTTTAACAGCGTACTTTAGTGAATTAATATATTAAAATCAGCCTAATTAAATACTCAGCATGTACATTTGCTACTACACCTCACCTCTGAAAGGAAGCTCCTGCAGGCTTACCTCCTATCTAAAGGGCCCACTACTTTATGCAGTCCTGTTACACAACGCCTGCTGCTGGAGCCCCACTGAAGGTATCGTGAGTGACAAATGTCTTACGCAAGTATGATAAAATACACCATAACAGAAAAGGATTACAGTTTAATCTACACAGTAGTGTAGACACGCACATTCTGAATTACAATCTTAACTAACGTTGAGGACATACAAATACCACATAGAGAGAAAGTAAAGAAACCGAGCTTACGGTTTAAGCAGATTCGGTCTATTTTTAAATCTCTTAAGCACTGTTTACAACACAGCAGCCGCATTTAAAGAGATACATCATCTTATTTCACAGAGCTTTAGAGTGAAAGGAATTATGAGATCATCTAGGATAATGTGTGTCTCACAGGTAATACATTTTACACAGATGACCCAACACTGAACTCGACTGCATCAGCTACAGCAACACTTGGCAACCAGCGGGTAAGAGCAAACAGAAGAAAGAGAGCAGAAAGACTTAATGTGCCACCAACTGCCTTAAGCCCCTGCAAATGCAAGGGCAAGATTACGTTTTCTATGCCCAGTAATGCTTCATATGGAAGAAAACAAAAATTCCCCACAGCTTCTGCACCTCTAGGGCAGCAGAAGATTCTTTCCCCACTCTCAGCAGATGTAACTTTGTGACCTGAACTGGCACCTGCTAGGTACAGGTCTCAGTCTGAAAGAGCTGCTACATCAGAGCATCCTTCCACCTCATCTGTATTCTTTTTCTAGATGTGCCAACCCAGAAGGCAAAAACCAACCAAAACCTGGTTAAGGCTGGTCAGCTGTGAGCCGCAAAAAGCAGCATTGCTCCCCCCTGCCCCCCGCAACCATACAACACACTTAACAACACACAAACTCAAGAAAAAACCAAACAAACAAAAAAACCCCCGAACCCTGACCCTTTCAGGAGACATGTTAAAGCCTGAAAGTAATAACATGCTACAAGTAATCTGATATTCTTCACAGAAGTGGAGGAATATTCTCCACAGAAGTGGAGGAATTCAAAGAACACAGTACCAAAAGTATAATTTAGATAAAATCCATCTGAAACAGTTTAAAGTTTCTATTGTCCCCTTACAAGAATGATATCTGGCATATTTTATTAATTAACCTCTAATAAATCAAGCTTTCATATTCAGTATACTGCTTCAGTTATAATAAAACTAAATTTAAGAAATAGCAGTATCTGTTAGTGTTTATGTTGGCTAAATGACAAGCTTTAGCACTGCTTCAGTTACAATAATTTTAAAAAACATCAGTTTGTGTTAATATTTGTTGGCTTTACCTTTCTGTAACTCTCCAGCTGATCATCTGAAATACCTGTAGGATATGAGATTGTTACAAGGTGATCTTTTCCTGGTAACATGAAATGAAATTGTTCTGGAACCACAATTGATGTTCCTTTCATATATTTCATGATACACCTTTCCATGTCTGTTAACTGCCTGTGAATTGCTTTCACCAGGAGATTTTGTACCCTGCAAAGTAAAAGGGAGAATATTTTCAGAGTAGCACAGGGATGGTGGATCATTTTCTCTCACAGCTCTGACAGTTAAACAATACTTAAATGCATATTTGCACCTGGTCTGATGAAATTACTACTTTTGTGCTTCCACTCCCACAGAGAAAGACAGAATCTCACCATGCTTTACTCCAAGCATGTCTGCACACAGAAGCTACTCCCTAGTGATCCAACTCTCCAAAGTGCAGGCACCCTGGCTTTATACTAGAAACACAACTGTTACGGACATTTGCCAAAGTAGAAGTTACAGATATGACTAGATGTTTTGTGGATTTGTTTGTGGGCCTTTTAAAATTTATTTTATCCCCTCCATTTAGCATCCCTCAGAGTCAAATCAAACAAAAAAAAAAAAGGAAAAATACAGGGGAAGACTCTAGTGTTTTCCACCTTCACCTACCCAGCTGCAGCCCCTAACATAGTACTGAGAGTAAAATGACTCATCAGATATGCTCCAGCTCTCACTTTTATACACACTCACATACTCAGGAGAATTTTTAGAAGATTTTCCTGACTTCCTCAATTCCTTGCTAAGCAATATGAGTTATCAAATCTATCAGACTGTCAAACTGAATTTTTTGTAGATAGTAAATGTGCCTCAAGATTATTAAAGCCAACAGCTGCCTACAGGAGCTTTTATTATTTACACTGTTAAACTCCATTACAAAAATACTACATGCTACTTCATTAAATTGATTAAAGACGTTACTTCAGTATTTAAAAAAAAAACCAGCAGAAACAAAGCTCCAAAAATCACAAGTTCAGGATAACACTTACTTTCCCCATGTTTCTTCTGGAGAAACAGACACAACAACATCAACAGGTAACGTCATATTTATGTAGTGGTGTTCCTTATTTTCTCTTTCAATGACTGGAGCCAAAGCAGCTAATGGAGATGTCATTTCCAACATGAGGTCTATATTGACTATCTGCTGCTGCAGAGAATAAAGATGCCAGTAGTACCTCTCCAACAACACACGTGCCAAGAAGACAAGACTGTAGATATTTGGTATCAAGCCCCATAATGAAATACTTGGATTAAAAAAACCCCCCAAACTAGTGACATTAAAGACAAACTTCTACATGCTGATCTACTGTAGATGGATCTCTGCATTCATGCTTGGTGTTAATGACTTTAAAAGAATTCTTTTAAGTCATGTCAATGTGTACTTGTGTACAGAAAAGCTTAGGGAGGCCAGATCTAAAAACATTTGAATGAGAGATTGTCTGATATAATTTGTATGGTGAGACACATACCGTATCTTGTAACTTTTTATCCTTTTTTTTGCCAAGCTTTCTTTTCATCTCATCATCTTGATCAAATCTGAAGTATCAACAGAAAAAGAAAAAATCTATAGTATGAAATTAATCTATTTTAAAAAATAATTTAAAATATACTCACTGTATAAATCGTCTTATCTCCTTACAAGCAGATTCGTCAGTCAGCTCTGGAACAGTGTTTGTACCACAGTTAGGCCACAGATAGACTGAACTGTGGCAAATTCTTAATACAAGAACATCTGAGGACAGTTTGTTTGCAAGATCACTGAAAACATATCCTAATGCCTTTTTCGTTGATGCCTCTGAAACACAATAAGGAAAATTCCCTCGTTTTCATTATAGCTCCTAGGCATACACATAAAAAAATCATATATGTTTTGATTTGGAATAAAAACCCAAGTGCTGTTATGATCAGAAAAATGGCTATGAGGTAAGATGTCACTTAGCAGGTCTGTCTCAAACATTCACTCATACCTGCCTGAAGAAGTTTACTCTTCTCTCACATGCTGTCAAATATGGAGAGTTAAATGAACTACAGAAGAATCACCTACGCTGGAGTCAGTTCTCACACTGATAACTCTTACACAAGCCTATGGTTGCAAACAAACTTCTATGTACAGGCAAACTTCTACATATGGTTATTGAAGTTTCTGACTTCATACCATTATTCAGAAATACAAACATAGTGAATTTTTGGTAAAGCAAAGCCTACACTCTATCTGCACACCAAATTTTTGCCATCATAAACCTGTAACTATAAACCACACTCTGGCCTGCCTGAACCTTTACTGCCGGTATAGAGGGTTGTCTTTCAGACCTTGACTTTTAAAGTTTCTACCACTCCTTACAACCTGAACCAATACTGGACATGACAGAGCAACTTTTGCACATTACCAGCATTGTTCTCTTCACTGAGGAGATGAAAAACCATTACTTCTAATGTTACAAGACTAACAAGCTGCCAAAGACTATGCTAAATTGTATTTCTTTAATACACTAACTGAGATTTGGCCACTATTTGTTGGCTTTTGCACTAGAAGTCTGTAAAAACTACAGTATTAGAAAAATCAAACAAAGCTACCACAAAAGGAAAACCTCACTGCCTTCAAAACGAGTGGTCTGTCATATTTACACACTAGCAGGTGACAATAGCATGCACCTGACAATCAGAGTACCACTCTGCTTCACTGTGGTTAAAATTCACTGTGCTGTAAACAAAATGCAGTAAGTAGCCTTTCTCTGAGGATGCAGCTCGTAAGCTACCATGCGTTAGGCCAACCTATGCAACACTTCTATTCCACAGCATGAACTGAAATGGGCCCAAGTTCCTCTCCAAGGTTCACTAGCACTGAATTCAGAATTTTTTAGTAAAAACACGTCCTTATAAAAGGCAGAATGAGCCACAGTAGAGTTTAAAGACACTCTCTTTCCACACTCTGCCTTATGATAACTCAATAGACTCTTAAATTCAGGGGAGTAGCCAGTTAGCTTGTTCATCTTCTCTCTTTCTCTAGAAAGACTGGACCACAATCTCAAAATGGTATTATTAATACAATTCTGTTATAATCAAATTCATTATCACTAAGTTATTCTGTTTGCTTAGAATTTCAAGGTCACCTTTGCATTCAAACTGAAAAGTGATCTCAACACCACATCCATAAGTAGGAAAAGTTATTTAAATAAGCTGACCTAAATAAGGCAATTTAAATTTTAATTCAAATTAAAATAAAAAAATCATACAATGGATAAAGACTGTTAGAAAATTAATGGCGATAAAGAATAATGTTTTCTGTATTTAATCTTTATGGGTTTGTGAGGAAGCATTTAACATCTGATAAAATGTCAAGAAAACAAACATCCTAATCAGCTAATTAACAAAAGGTTATTTACATAAAGCATTAAGAAATCTATTACAGTCTTACAGACACACCGTCAGTAGTTGCTAGCTGAAATGCGAGATCCAAGCCTCCTCTTACTCTAAAGAGTATGTCCATAGCTTCTAGAATTACCTAAGGAGGGGAAAAACCAAAAGCAAGGAAAATGAACAGCTATTTCAGCATGCTTTCTCTCAAGTTGCAGTTGACTGTTATTATACCACAGTGTGGAAGCACGCTGGTAATTACTGTAGCTGCTCAGGCTATGAAAGGCCACTGAATAAACAGCGAAGCGAGCAGCACTGCAGCACGTAGTTGCCAGTAGCTGGATTACACAAGTACTGCTACAAATGCAGTCCTTAAAACACATTTCTGACTTTAACAAGAAAGTCTTAACTCTTTGCTTTCACCATTTGGAAATATTTTGGGTAAAATGTCATTGTTTCTCATTGCTTCGATCCAAATGTCATGTTTCCCATGTTACGAGTCTTCAAGGAAACCAAAGACTGCTCTGAGCATTAGAGTAGAAAGGCAATTAAGCACACCTACACCTGTAACGCATTCACTTTGGTTATGAAATCACAACTTCAAGGAAAGATTAATAAAACCAAACAAAACAGGGTGGGGGTGAGAGAGAGAGGACACCCAACCTCCAGAACCCAGGCTGAGTTTCACATTTGACAGAAGAGCTGCTTATGCCAGTACAGAGTCAATCCAGGTGTTTGTCTCTGCTCTGTCTCCCCACAACTGCTCTTTGCAGACATTTTGACATAAGCTTCATCATAGAACTCACGCAGATGGAAACCACCCTTATATTTCAGCCAAGTCAATGCCCAGCCAAGATACTGCAACAAAAAAAAGTCGTGCCAGTACAAAGAGGAACGAAAGGTGACAGCCCAGAAAAATGTGAGTATTGCTCAATCTAACAGGGCAGAAAAACAAATGCCTCACAGCCTTAATTTCTCTAAGAAAACCCACACCAAACACCTGTAAGAATAATTACACTAAGATCCTTTGGAGACACTTATTGCATAATTGCTTGCTTACAAAATATGGGAAACTTCCAGGTGCAATCCCACCATTACTTGTGAAATAAAAAAAATCAAAACGTGGGACTAATTTTCTTTTCACTAGAACTATTCTAAGCAGAAATATATAAAAAGATACGCATCCCTGATGAAAACATAAGCATCTACACCTTTAGCTTTGGGTGAAAGGTTTTTCAGGTTTCTGGAGTGCCAAAGTTTACTCCAAGAAACAAAACAGGCAAGAATGCAACAACTAACACTGTGGTTCCTGAAGCACAATCCTTAAGTATTTTAGATAACACAGACATCTACATTAAAAAAGGTCTTGGAGTGTGGAATCCACAAATGCCAGCATATGGGAAAAAAGTGCCTGGGTTGATGCAAAAAACATTTTTGTCTGAGTTATTATAACGTAAGAATAACGTCCGTGAATGGAAAGCAGAGCTCTGCAAAACGAGTAAGGGCGAGTTCGGCCTTTTGCCAGTAGCTCACCACGGATGC